AGATGAAATGATAGCGGATGTCGATGTGCTTTRTTCTGCTGTGGAAAGCTGGATTTTTCGCCATAGCGATTGTTGCCTTGTTGTCACAAAACACTTGAGTTGCACCTTCTTGAACTTGGCAAAAATCAACTAACAATCTCCTTAGCCAAACTACTTGACAAACTGGTGCCGTTGCAGCAACATATTCTGCTTCTAATGATGACAAGGCCACGATTTCTTGCTTCTTTGAACTCCATGAAATAGCACTCGAACCAAGGGAGAAAACATAGCCGGAAGTGCTTTTTCTATCATCCAAGCAACCTGCCCAGTCACTGTCAATAAAACCCAAAAGTTTGAAATCTGATACTTTTGAGTACCAAATTCCAAAATCAACAGTTCCAACCAACATAACGAAGGATCCTCTTTGCTGCCCCGAGGTGATGCATTGTTGGGCTATGCATAAATCTAGAGACAACGCTGACAGGGAATGCTATATCAGGCCTTGTGTAAGACAAGTAGTTCAAACCACCAACCATACTTCTAAAATATCTCGCACTTGCCATTCCGGTGCCATCATTAGCTATGAGTGTCTCATTCACATTCATGGGAGTTGGAGTTGCTTTACAGTTTAACATATTGAACCTTTTCAACAAATCATTAGCATATTTTCTTTGGGAAATAAAAATCCCATCTGCACTTTGGTTGACCTCTAAACCAAGAAAATAATGCAACAAGCCCAAATCTGACATCTCGAATTTTTTCAACATGCAAGACTTAAATTCCTCAACAAGAGACTCACAAGATCCCATATAAATTATGTCATCAACATAAAGACACACCACCAAAAAATCAGAGTTACCACGCTTCTTCACATAAAGTGTTGTCTCATTTTTACTTCTTTCAAATCCATTCTCCTGAAAGTAGGAGTCTATCTTGCTATACCATGCTCACGGGGCTTGCTTTAGGCCATATAAAGCCTTCTTTAACCAGTAAACTTGATTGTCATCGCCACTAACATAACCTTCAGGTTGAGAAACATACACCTCTTCATCTAGTTCTCCATTCAAAAAGGCGGATTTAACATCAAACTGGTACACAACCCAATTTAATTGTGCAGCCAAGGCTAGAAAGGTTCTCACCGTTTCAAAGCGAGCAACCGGAGAAAATGTTTCTTCGAAGTCAACACCTTGCTGCTGAGAGTACCCTTTCGCCACCAACCGAGCTTTGTGTTTCTGTATAGTACCGTCAGCATGATACTTTGTTCTGTACACCCACTTGAGCCCAATAACATTCTTGCCTTCCAGTAGGTTGATCAACTCCCAAGTTTCATTTCTTTCAATAGCCGACATCTCTCCTTTCATTGCGTCCTACCAAACTTGACTTTCTACAGCTTCATCATAACAAGTGGGGTCAAAAACATACAAAGCAAAGCTACATGAAGCATAAATATCCCTCAATGATCTTAATTTTCTTGGAGGTGTTTCACTAGAGGAACTTGAAGATGAGGACTGCAAACTTGTTGGAGTAGATGCGCTACTGTTGCTAGGGGGAGATGAGTAAATGGTTGAGCTGCTACTAGCATATGGACTAGCTGGTTCTGGAGGTTCTGTCACAGGAGTTATACTAGCATCTTCTGCAACTTGTGGTGTTGTAGGTGTTGCATTGTCGTTGTTCCAGACCCAAGTTTCTTCTTCATTAAACTTAACATTCCTGCTAATAATTACTTTGCCACTCACAGGGTTATACAACCTATATGCTTTGGATTGAGGGCTATAGCCAACAAAAATGCATTTTTTTTATTTTTCATCAAGTTTGTTGCGGGTTGGAGAAGTAACCAAGGCATAGGCTATACAACCAAAAATTTTCAAGTGGTTTCCTGCCCTTCCAAGTTTCATATGGGGTCCGGTTCATGACAGCCTTTGTAGGTGAGATATTGAAAAGATAAACTGTTGTTGCCACTGCTTCTGCCCAGAACTGATTTGGAACACCACTTGCTTTCATCATGCTTCTTACCATTTCAACCACCATTCGATTCTTCCGTTCAACCACACCATTTTGCTCCAATGTGTACGGTGTTGCCAACTCCCTGTGAATGCCATTTTCCTCACAGAAAACATTAAATTCATTAGAGGTAAATTCACCACCCCTATCGGAGCGGAGTGCCTTTATACAACGCCCACTTTGCTTCTCCGCTAATGCTTTGAATTTCTTGAAAGTTTCAAAAGTTTCTGATTTGAATTTCAAGAAATACACCCAACTCATGCTGCTGTAATCATCAGTAAATAACAAAAAATATTTGCTTCAACCAAATGATTCAATACTCATTGGTCCACACACATCAGCATGTACCAATTCAAGACAATCAAAAGCCCTCCATGACTTGTCTACAGGAAATGAATTTCTCCTTTGTTTTCCACAGACACAGCCTTCACAAAAATCAAGATCACCAATTTTCGGCAACCCAACAACCATATTTTTTTGAGCCAACAATTTCAGCCCTTTCACATTTAAATGCCCATAACACAAATGCCACATTTTTGCATCACTAGCTCTAGCAATCAAGACACAATTTCTTACTTCAGAGACTTCTAACGGAAACATTTTATTTTGTGCCACAGGAATGCTAACTATTTTGTGCCTTGTTTTCTTATCTTGGACATAACAACAACCATCATCAAACAAAATAGAGTATCCACCATCCATCAATTGCCCAACACTTAACAAATTATGAGCTAAATTAGGAACATATTGCACATCATGGAGAAGTTTTACATTACCTTGTGAGGTTTTGATGGCAATTATACCTTTCCCTTCAACTTGCATTTGCTTGTTGTCTCCGAGTCGAACTTCACTTTTCTATGACTCGTCAAGTTCTTTAAAAAGAGACTTTGTTCCGGACATATGGTTGGAGCATCCACTGTCCAGAAACCAAACTCCATTGGAAGCAGTATCAATAGGAGAATGAGCCATGAATAACTTGCTCTCCTCTTCAACTTTCTCTGTAAAATTAGCTTGTTTCTGCTCATCTTTCTGCTTGGTCCAACAATCTACTTCTTTGTGACCCAATTTCTTGCAATATCGGCATTGGATGGTGTTCTTGTATTGGCGTTGATCACCAAATTGGCTTCTTCCTCTGCTGCCACCGCGACCTCGGCTTTGTCCCCGGCCTCCAGAATTTTTTTACTTTCCCTTGTAGGAAGACTCCCCCTTAACATGAAAAGCCTTCTCCTCAACCTTTTCATAGGATATGCTCAGTCTAGCTTCATGGCCTAACAGAAAACTCATTAATTCATCAAAAGTATAAATAGACAAGTCCTTAGACTCTTCAATTGCAGCAACTACATGATCGAATTTTGAGGTTAAGCTCCTCAAAACCTTACTCACAACAGTTCCATTACTAACACTTTCACCATATGACTTCATATGATTAACAATCCTAGACACCTTAGATAAAAATACTTGCACAGATTCTTTTTCTTTCATGGCCAATGTTTCAAAATCACGACGAAGAGTTTGTAATTTAACAGTAATTACCTTCTTGTCACCCAAGAATTCTTGCTTCAAAATCTCCCATGCTTGAGTGGAGGTGCTAGCTGCTGCAATTCTTGGAAAAATTTCTTCATCAAGGGCCTGTTGAATGAGAAACAGAGCCTTTGCATCCTTCTTACGGGTTTCTCGCAACCGTTGATCAGGCTCAATCGGACTTGTGTCTTCAAATCCCTTCTCCACCAAGTCCCATAGCTCTTGAGACTTGAACATGGTCTTCATTTTGAGGCTCCAAAAGTGAGAATTTTCCCCTTTAAAGACTGGAATTAGGGGCAGAGCTGATGAATTGGCTCCGTTGCTACCCATGGCGGAACTCTTTCTCCTCTCCTATTTTTCCCGTTGCCACCCATGCAGTCTCCTAATGGCTTGTGKGACTTACCTTGAAAATACCCCCTTCTAAATTTTCTTCTTTTTTATCTCTTTGTATCAAGTAGACATCATTTATTTGAAGTAACATCTTTTACCACATTAAACATTTCATGTCATTATGGAATTCTGTAGGACAGGGAACTTCAGGGCTTAATTTCTGTTCCTTAATGATAAGAGGTTCCCCCTATTTCCCGCCACAAAAATAAA